CTCGCGAGCGCCGCGCGCGTCCTCAAAGTGCCTTTGAAGCAACTCGCGGGCGTTTTGCAAGCACTTTAGAGCCCCTAAGATTGCAGACCCTACGGCCTCCAGCCCTCAAAATCGGCAGACCCTCAAAGGACGGAATTCTGACCTGGGTCTTGAAACAAGCCTCGTAGCCATCACAGAGTGGGAGCTGACAACACCCTCCCTAGAGAGAGACCTCATGATAGTCTCAGCCAAGGTTGCAAACAAACTGAAACAAGACGCGATCACCAAACAAAAGAACAGACGCCAGACGATTGCGACACGAAGCCGCTTTTGTAACATTCTACGACGGAAATGAAAAGAACAAACTCAAACAAAACGCAATCACTAATCCAAAGAGTCTTTTGTTTGTAGGTGTTTGAGGGTTTACAATCCCTAACTTAAGGCTTTCTTGGTGCGGCTTTCTGCTGTTGGTGTCTGTTCGATCACTTGTATTGGTGTCTGTTCGATCACTTGTATTATCTTTGTCTTTTTCGATTGCTCTGTCCCCCATGATTTCGCTTCTCGGTGACTTTTTGTTGTTGTTCCATTTTGGTGACATATCTCTGCAAGTTTTCCTCGTTGACAGTGAATTTTGGTTGCTGTTCCGCGTCATCTTGCTGGTTAACTTGCCGATTTTTTGTTTGTGCTCTTTTTCTAGCAGCAATCGCCGACAAATCCACTACCTGCAAAGAAGACCAGACCACAGTTGAAGGTCACAATCTGTGTTGCCGGAAAGTAACGAGACAGATTTGGCCCAAAAATTCACGTAGCAAAGTGGCAGGTCAGGTTTGGCCAAAAATTCACGCAACAATCACGTATCAAAGTGGCGGGGCAGGTTTGCCCAAAATTCACCGAAGTGGTGGGTCCACCAGTTCTTCAAGCGAAGTCGTTGAAAGTCTGTGGCGTCGATACAACAGTCAACTGGCAATGCGGACGTTGTATGCGATTTATGCAAAGTGAGACTTCGTTCAGAAGCAGGTTCCAACAATTCGATTTGGAGGTCTTGACTCTGGAGCAAGACTCAAATTAGGAAGTTCAAGTACATGCAGGAGTGGACAAGCGCCTTTCAGTTTCTACCCACATTGGGGTAAAAATGCGGACAATGGATGGAAAGCGCGATTGTGTGTGTTGTAGTCAAGGCGGCGTGTGAAGTGTTTGGCTGAGTGTTTTTGTGGACCGAAAATGTCGAGATTTTGCCACGTCCAAAAAAGGCGAATGACACTTCAATGCAATCCAGGGGAAGGACAACATGATGCTCGTGGAGCAGGACTTGACGCATGAAAACCTTTCAACACCATCGGCAGGATGTTTTGAGTCGCCGATGTTGTGTTGTTGTGTTTGCACAACTTCGACATGGAAAATGGAGCAACAAACCAAAAAGGAAAGCTTTTGACAACGCGATGGTTATGGTATGGCAATGTTGCGTAAACCACAAGTATCGCAACATCACGACCGTGCGCATGTTTGTAGTTTGATAAAAGTTTCGAAGATGAATGAACACAGAAAATGAATATCGACGTCTGGACAGATGACAGATGGTGTTTTTGCTGTCTAGAGCCATAGCCACAGACTCTTGCCATGATTGTGTGTTTACATGCGTTGCCAAAGGTGTTCAAGCGTCGCATTTGCGATCCAAAAAAAGTCGCGCTGTGCATTTTTTCTGTAATTCAAGCCACGCATGTTCCCACAACATCCGTGCACATGTGGCGTGTTATTGGCAAAGTGTGAAGAGGGTCACACAGTGCAGTGGGAAACAGTGCCACGGGGGTTGCGCAAGCATGAGCGTTCGTGTGCAACAATCCGTTGTGCGAGCTCCATGCAACACCACGAACCCGTGGCTTCTGCTCATTCTACTCTTCCCTGCGAACGGGCACGGAAAACTTGCCATTCCGATTTTATATTGTCTGGTTCATCGGATTGTGGAGGGGCGTTGCATGTAGGGCCGCCCATAACGCTGGGGGGCCTTACGAGGGTTCCGGCTGCTGGGTTTGTTCGTGTTCTCCATGCCAAAAGCACCGTGTTGGTACGTTCGGCCTTCTCAAGGAGTATCAGCCAACCGTACCTTTCCATGTTCGTAACCCGGAGCTGGCCCTATCTGGCCGTAGCATTGCTTCAGGAACAAAGACACTCAGAATGTATTACAGACTCACATTTTGACTTCCATCTTCGACTCCTCGACTTGCCAGTTTGAAGTGCGAAGCCACGAGGATGGTACGGTGCTGCAGACTGGTTGGAGCTTCCTTGCTCCTAGTCTTCTGCACTTCTGCAAATGGCAGTTGCGACATGGATGCCGCCGGCAGGAATTCGACCGCATGTCACAATGTTTTCGCTGACGAGAACTCCTTCGTGCAGAGTTGGAAGCGCTCAGATCGCGTTCCACCAGACCAGCACCCCTGGCTACCAACGTCAGGGCTGCAGCTGAAGACGATGTGGTGGGCACCGATCATGTGGCTGGTGGTGTTGGTTCCGCTTGCCGTGATGCTGTGCATGGCAACCAAGCCAGACAAGGGTGCTACAGAAGCCCTGCTGCACAGCCGAAACCAGGCGGCCATGCGATTGGATGTGGTAGGAGGGTCGGCACACGGAACAATTTGGCATACCGCTTGTCGTTGTGAGACAGGAATTCAGAGACTTCGAGGTGGAAGCGGGCAACTCTTGCAAGGAGAACCGAGTCTCATCCAAGATCCCTTTAAAAAGACAGGTTTTGTTTCGACCTTCGAACAGGATATGCATCTCGACGTCGCCGGTCTCCGGGACATCTGGCTACGTGAAGTCCAGAGGCACCAGCTTGCGAATGAGACTGACTACCCGACTACCCTCACTTGTCTGCAGCTTGCCGAGGCAAGGGCCGAAGGGGGCCAACTTGCTCAAGGCTCGGGCGAAGAGGCAGATGTCATTGTGAAGTCTCAACATACTTTGGCAGGTCTTGTTGCAGCACTGTCCCGCGCTTTCAGCTCACTGTGTGACGCTGTTGCAGGGCCTCTCGGCCTAGGCGTTGTTGGCTGGCTGAGGCATCTCCGAAAGTTGGATGGCGAACGCCTACGGCAACGAGCTGAGTAGAAATCCGAGCGGCAGCCTCCAAGATTTTACGCTTCACCGAGGCACCTTCCTCGGGGCCCTGGCTTTTCTTTGCAGTTTGTCTCTCTCCATCGCTCTTGGGCAGCTGCCGGAGCCCTGGAGCCTTTTCTTTGGAGTCGGGAAAGGCTAGAGAATGACAGAGTCCTTCCAGGCTTGCTGGTGTCCGAAGGTGCCGACCTTGAAAGCCCTGCACTCCGGAGAAAGCCTGCTGGTAGTTGCCCTGTGCAGGGCATCGCCGTCCTCCGACAGGTTCGATGGCGACCACCTTACTTCGGTCGAGATGTCTTTGCATCCCATGTCGCGAAGACACGTGCATTAACGGCAAACTTGCGCACAGCACGTGGCCATCGTACGTGCGCAGCGCACGGCCTGTGCCTGGTTTCCAGTAGGAGCCGGGCTTTAAGAACCGGCAGGTATTTCCCATAGTGTTCTCCTTCTCGTTCCGGTTCTGCTGTCTGGTATTGTCATTGTTAACACGAATCAGCGCCTACTCCTGTTGCCATGTTGCTGCACTATCACGACGAATCGTCATGATCTGAGGGTGGATGATCGTCTTGGCCTGTGCAGTGCTGCCTTGTGTTGTGGGCTGCTTGGAAGCGGAGAGCTGCACGAGGACCCCGTAAATGACTGTCTGCCTCTCGCCTGGTCTTCAAGCTTCGCCACCACGCCGTTAGGAACGCTCGCTTCAGCGCACGGAGCAGCGCGGTTCCGGACTCAAAGTTCACCCCAGGCGGCCGAAGCTCCCTGCGGTCTCTGCGCTGCACAGGCCTTGATGGGCCTCTTGGGTGCCAAAGCGCAGCAACTCCCGGCCACCAAGGCGAGCTGCTAAGATGGGGTCATTTTTTTTGGTTTTTGCGTTCTCTGCGCACTGCTCAGGCTGGCACGGATCCGCTTGCATCCCTCGGTGGCATTGAAGGGGCAATGCGAATCTCCGACCAGATCGGAGAGGCATCGCGACAGCGTTTCATGCAAACTTGCTCCTCGACTCGTTGGTTTCTTAAGCTCCAAGGCCGTGCCTTGCCTTTGGCGCGCTGCCATGGCTTGTGCACAGGTGGGCCCTTGGGTGTAAAATGTGTAAACGGTGAGAGAGAATGGAATGTTTGCACAAAGAAGGCGACCGTGCTTCTGGCGTGGTCGCGAGCTCGGATAGTCACTAGCTGCTATAGCTTTGTTGAATTGTGTGTTCCGCTTTGTCGCGGCTCTAGCTCCGAACCGGGCACGTTTGGCCGATGCACGCACCCGATGATCCGATGCACATCCTCCGAATCGCTTCACAGCCCGACAGGTCCAGGCGAGCTACGTAATATATCCCTTCCCAATGCTCCAGAAGGGTGCCTTCTCGTCGTTCCAAGGCTGTGGACACGGTTCGGCGCTTTGGTTTGCCTGGCACCGCTAGGCCTTTCTTCCAGCTTTCCTTCTCCCTTCCTTCGTTTTCCTTGTGTCCTCTTTCCTCATCTGTTCCTCTCTCTCTCTCTCGCTCCCTCTTTTTCTGGTGCGGATTTCTTGAAGGCTTTGCCCCGCTTCTCGTCGTGACAGCGTGTCGACTACACGGCTTGGCCGGAAGCCCGCAGGAGGCTCCAATACCAAAGCCCTCTGACCAAGCTGAAAGGTCGAGGCTTACGTCTCCTACGAGACTGCCGCCCAGCTCCATGGCTTGCAGAAAGGAAGATGTGGCAAGCATCTTGTCGCCTTGGATTTCTGTAAAGCAGCTATCCTCCAGGCTTCGGCAAGACTTTGTCAGTGCCGCCGAGCTCAGAGTCTCCAAAGTGTGGGTTGAAAGCTGCCGTGGAATACCCCAGGCGCTCTCTTACAACTTGTGTCCTGGCTTAGGACGCCCAGTCCAAGCAGGGCTTGCCCCAAGTGCCGACGCAGGAGTGCCCGAACATCATCGAGAGAAGCCTTCGACGAAGCCTTCAAAAACTGCCCGTTGTCCGTGCCAGAATTTCTTGGAGCGTGCGCAACGTCTTCGGCGTGAGGCGCAAGATGCATGGGAGCTGAATGCTGTCTTAGCGAGTTGTCCTGCTCCAGACGATCAGGAGCTGGACTTCTTGTGGATGATGCACAATGTGAGCGGGGTTCTTTGCTCCCGTGCTTTTTGATTCTGTTCGCAGATCAGAGCTGGCCACATGAGGCTACCAGGTAGCTTTGTTGGCAGCACGTTGGCCACAGCTGGTTGCGCGGATCTGAGCTCTTGGGCAAGTGAGACCATGCTTGCTGCCGAAACGCAGAGGCCCTCGCCTGCATCGTGACGATTTCCATCGTAGCCCCTCAACAGCCAGAGGCAATGGCCGGGATGTGCCCTCGGACGGCTTGCGGTGCACGCTGTGGTCAGGTCCTGCTTCCTCTGTTTCTACAAGTGCACTGCTTGCTGCGACAGCTGCCCGGATCTCGGCCCCGTGGCGGCCAGTGGCAGTTTTCTTCGAGGGCCTAACTCTCCCAGGTCGGTCTGCAGCAGCTCCGTAACGAAGCTCGGCACCGCCAAGCCTTCCTTGGCTCGAGTGGAGGCGACGTGAGACGTTCCGCCTACACGTTCCCGCCGATTCGTTCTCTCTCCCGCCGCTCTTTCGGTGCTCAGCACGGAGGCCTTCCTGTACCGCCCTGAGCTGGAGAAGGCGATACTTCAGGACGACTGGCCCCCAATTCTAAGTCCTAAGTGCAAAGATGTTCCATGCTCCCACGGCCAGGACCCCGGCCTGTGCCTTCATCTCACTGGGAGCCGGCGGCTGATTGCGAACGCAACCCCAAGGGCGGACGTTCTTGTCTGTGACCCAGGCTTCGCCTGGGAAGACAGCGAGATCGAGTCTTTGCAGCTTGATCGCAGCCAGCGTATGCCAGAACGCTGAACCTGTGGCATAATGTGTGCACAGCGTCAAGACACTGCGAACATGAGACATAAGGCCAGTCTTGGTCGACTTGGACTTGAAGGCGCCCAGTCTTGAAATGTCTTGAGTAAGTGACGGGCGCGACGCGTCCTCGTTTCTCAGCAGGTGCCCTGTGCTGCGCTCCTGGCTGTCTTGGGTACCTCGGGGGTCCATGCACTCAGTGGGCTCAGCCTGAACGGGGCTTCTCCGCAAAGTTAGAGACCGAGAGCTCCTGCTTTGGAGGCAGGAAAGACGTCTTTGCTGTACGCAGCTGCTGGTGCACTTCGCCCGCTGGCAGATGCCTGCATGCGCAGGCGTAGAGCCACGTTTGACCGCTGCAGCGTGGTGTGTGTTTTGATCTGTGCAGGACACCTTCTGCTCTGCTACTCCCATCGAAGCCCTGGATTTTTCCAGGATCATTGTCTGGAGCCCATTCTGCACTTGAGATGGCTCAAGAAAGTCGACATAGTGAATGAAGTGTCTGCCAGCTTCAGCTTCGTCTCAGGCAAGACAACATTGTGTGTGGCAGATGCTTAGATCTGGACCGCTACCAGACGGTTGTCAAGGCAGGGAGTGTTTTCATGATCTGGCAATAAAACCGACTGCTCCTGGTCGGAGCACCGTCACCCCACGACCGCTGCTCACGGTACGATGTCATCAACGTCGCAACCCATGCTCGCGACGTAACTATGCGAGGATGGCTGGAGGCTTCTGGTAGGAAAGGCCAGGATGGGCAAGGTGTCCAGGGTCGGAGAGCCTCAAGGAAAGGTGGCGCCATCCTGGACTAACGCACTTGCTGCCGAGGTTCTCATCTTTGCATAGAGCGAAAGTACCGACCCTGCCACCCTTCGCACTCTTCTGGCTCGTCTGCAGGGGCGTAAACCAGAATCTAGGCAGATTGAGGAATTGGGATCCCGCTGCCGACTACAGACATGCAGGAGCCACGAACCCATGAGGTGTGCTGGTTGAACGTCTTAGGAATGCAGCAGTGTTGCTCAGCTACAAATACCTCCTAGAGATACATTGCAGTGAGGGCAGTGGTGTGTAACCTGGGAACAGAGGAGAGAAGGAAGCAGCTCGGAAAGATGTGCACGGGTTGCCTTTGCAGGCGACGGGTCTTGAAGCGCTTGGTCAAGGCTCGTGCAACCTCTCCGTGTGAATTGCGTGAAGCATCCCGCGGCATGCAGACAGCGATCCGGCCTCTTGGGACACAGCCAAAGTTGCTCTGGCCCGTGCTGCGTACGGTCAAGAGGCGCCGGGGCTGAAATGCAGGTCTCTTCAGCTGTCGCTTGAACTATTGGCAGGAGCTGGTTCTCATGGACGATCCCTTCAATGGAATGGCGGCTGCAGATGCAGAGAGAATCATCCGTGAGGTGACGTGACTTGTCTGGGCCACAGTGCCCCAAGAGCTGGCAATGATTGGCAATGCGACAGGTGCTGCAGGGTCCGCTCTTTGAGGGGCGATGCTGCATCGTGGTTTTCAGCAGCAACACGGCTCAGCTTTCCGAAGGCAGGAGCCCAACTAAGCCTAGCGGCACCTCGAGTCTTCGTGAGTTAGAGTGGGAGAGCTTCCCTTGCAGGCTTTTCCGGCGTCATCTTGGAGGGTGGCGCCGTGGCAGTGCGGCGCCTACTGCTTGTAGGATCCCTGTTGCTATCCTGTCGTTTCAGGGGGAGTCCGCACCAGCCCGAAGGGATTTCAGCCACAACTGAGACATGTAGCTGTTGAAGCTACTCAGATTTCAGCCTCCATCGGTCATTTTCAAGCGTGTTTCCTGGCCACCTACGCTACATAGCCCATGTCACTCCCAGATCTACCGATTTAGCTAAGGTGCCCACGTGTAGCCTCCATCTTGAGTAGCACGAGTCTTTGAAGCCTCCTGCACTCGAGCTCTGCTTCCAGGCTGCGGGGAGGGCCTTGGACTTGTCGAAAGTGGCGTGCGGCTGGGCTCCCGAAGGAAGGTCGAGTCACCCGCCTTCCGCAACGCGGCGACCCCTGGGAGCCGGCAAGCTGGAGCAGGCGCAGAAGCAGGGCCAGGGCGGCTCCGAGAAGGGCGCGGCGGGGGGCGTGTTTGGTGCCCTGGCCTTCCTGAGACTGGCGGGAAGAGGCCGAGTCACGTGCGTGTATTTGCTGCTCCTGGTGGACCAAATTCTGCAGACTGGACTGGACTGGGTCCTGCTTGTCGCTGCTCTCCAAGTCCGTCAGAACAGAAGTTTCTTTTCTTTTAATTGGCAATTTGCGATTTGCTGGGTCAACTTGATGTTGAAAGTCGTCTTGGCGCGAGCGGCTGCCTCATGTTGTGCAGCTGCGGGTGAAACGTTTCATCAGCAGTGGCTCTTGCGAGTGACGAAAGCCACCAATGCCTCAGCCTCCAATGTGGTGACGCGGGACATGAAAGTGGTTGACATCGGCCTTTCGCATCAGGTCTGGGTTCTGTTTGCAATGCTTTGCAGCACGCTTGGATTGCTATGCTTGGTGCATGTCCGACTACCTCAACCACTATTTGGACTGCTCTTAGCATTACCCGCTTATGTGACGGCGTGTTGGTGCCTCCTGAAAAGTTTCCGACAGCGCGTGGATTTTCACAGGAAGCAGTGCGCCTGCAAATCTTCTGTTTGCAAACTGCTGCACGATTGCTGCGCTCCTGGAATGGCAGCACGACTCATGGCGAAGGACGTTGCACGCACTGCGCCACTTCTTTTCCAGATAGTTTGCCACTAGCTTCTCGTAGGAGCCTTACGTGCTGGAGGTGGAGGACGCAACGGAAATCCCTTCTGCAGGGGCATGGGTTGTCGTTTTGGTCTCTGCGAGGAGAAGGCCCTGCAAGCTTACGCTCGTCAACACGCGGCGACTGCAGCGCCCTCGGCGTCCGGTTCTCAGAGGAACTCTGGCGGTGCACTCTTTGACGGGCGGAAAGTGCGAGTCCAAGGGCCTTGATGGTGCAGCTGTCTCTCTGTCTCAGCGCTGTGAAGCTGGACGGCACTATACACAATGCGGTGATTTTTCTTACGGTTCGGTCAGCTTTCTTGCAGATGCCACAGCAAACCTCTGTTTGAGAAGCTCCGGAAAAAAGCAAACTCCCAAGCCAATGCCGATGGCGTCATACAGCTACATTTGTAGGTAGGCGGGGGCAGGCAAAGTGATGCTGAGAACTGATGAGGTACACCGTGGCTGCCGTGCTGACCATTTCGAACAGCGATGATGTGATGGAGGAGACCGTGCCGTCATGTGCCGTCCTTCCATGATGCGGTGAGTTGCTGCCTGCGCAGGTCGGTTTGACCTTGGCCCCGCTGGCCCTGCTGGTGTGGTGCTCCCAGACTCGAAAGAGATGCGATGGTCAAAGCGGGATGGCCAGCCTGCAAGGCACTTCCTTTTGCCCTGCATCGATGCTCTACATGGCTTCGAGGTTTTGAGATGCTCTGAGATGCCGATGTCTGGTGTGCTTGAATGTACTTGATCAATCTTATCTCTAAGAGGACGTCGGTGCGGCTGCCGGTGGCCTCGTGCACGAGCTCGAGGAGCAAAGAGCTACCTTCACTACCTGACCCTGAGCCGAGGAAGAAGTCCTGGCCCTACGCTTTCCTACATTGTACATGTTCTGAAGAAACTTTTGCTTGCTGTGGCTGAGCTGCCTTTCGACTTGAGGCACGACGCGGCGTCGCCTTGAGGGCGGAAAAACTTTGGGCGACGAGATTTCAGCATGCAACTCAGTAAGAGTAGCTGAGTAGCAGAGGTGGCAGTAGCTCTCCCGTCCTTCGCCGGTTCGAGGCCGCCTTGGCAAATCAGTTTCTAAAGCGAGGTTCTGTGAGAGTTTTCAGCAGACTTCAGCATAGCCGATCTATCCATCTCGCAAACTAAGACGAAGGCCTAACTAATCTGTCATGGTTGTTTAAGATGCATGGTTTGCAAGCTTCCCTACTGGTAGAGTTTCAAGCGCTGAACCCTCGATGGAGCCCTGCTCGCCTAAGTTTGGCGGGGAAAGGGATGTGCTCGACGCGCGACCTGCCACAAGTCAGGAGCAAAGGCCTCACAAGGGTGGCGACGTCGTCGACATCTGCAACGGACGGCGCGGATATGCCGTTGATCTCACCCAGACACACTGCAAAGTGCGATTCTTGCGTCGGCAAGCCTGGAGCAAACATTCCGAAGATGGCGATGGCAGCAAAGATGTGGTGGAGTCTCCTCAGATTCTGCCCCTGCAATACATCAGGCCATGGACCCCGCAGTGGGATGAGACCTTGTTTTCCTGCGGTACACGGGCCTCCCTCGAACCGCATGCAGAGCCAAAATCACGGCTCTCGCCTGCGCCCCTTCGAACATCGGCCAATGCTCCGAGCAAGCTGTACCGTGCACCCCTGCTGTCAGTCAAAACAAGAAAGCAGGTTTTTCGAGAAGAACGGGAAGCGGTGCGAGGCTTCCGAAGGACGGCAGAGACTGTTTGTGGCTCTATTGCCGCAGCATGGCGGCTGGTGTTGGACAAGAAGCGCGCCGGACGCATCAAGTTCACGGATCTTGTGCGTGGCGGACGCCAGATGGGATTTTTAGGGAATTACCGGCAGCTTTGGCAAGAGCTGACAATGCACAGGTCGTTCCACAGTCACTGGATAGGACTAGGAGATATAGATCCTCAGGCAGCAAAGCTTCTGCAAGAGTTCTGCGATGTGTTTGAGCGTCGCGAGCTCACTCTGGAGGATCTTTGGGAGAAACATCTGAAAGGAGAGGGAGACCAGCGATGTTCGCACAGAGAGTTCATGACTGCCATGGAAAACTTGGGCTTTTCAAAGAGAAAGAGCCAGGCATTCTTTCAGTTGCTTGATTACGGCAACCAAAACGACCTATCCATCGACGAGCTGGAGCTCCTGGACCTGCAGCACCGAAGTTCCAGTGAACATCCGATGCCGAACGTCCGAGAGCGTGGCAGGGAGCAGGATGCGGCTGCGAAGAAGGAGGCGCTGGGGGACTTCTATGCGTTCCTCTCCCGAAAGTTTCGCACGCTGGTGGCGGCCTGGCGTCAAGGCTTGGATGCCGATGCTGATGGACGTCTAAGATTTCCTGAGTTCTGCAATGCCTGCAAAAGGCTAGGATACAGGGGCAGGCTAAAGACCGTGTGGAGAGCTTTGGACACCAACAACGTTGGATACTTGACGCTTGGTCACATAGATCGGGTTGCCGAGGAAGGTTTGGACGACTTCCGATCTTTCCTCGAGGATAACTTCCGCACGCTGGACGATGCATGGGAGAGAGTTTTCGACAGTGACAAGTCTGGGCGATGTAATGAGAGCCACTTCGTGGATTCTTGCAAGAAGCTGAGATATCCCGGCAACGCGCTCCGTGTGTTCAAGTGGCTGGTTGCAGGAAGACTGGAGCACTCGGATGTGAGTGGTGTTAGGCGAGATTTGTACATAGACGACTTCGACATTTTGGGACTGCGTCGGCGTTCAGAAACCTTGAACCCCACAGCCGAACAGCGTGTCCTGGAGCGTCAAGCGAAGGATCGGGCCGAAGCAGAGGCAATGCTTGGCAGGTTCAAGCTTTTCTTGAACCAGAGATTTGGGAACTTGGTGAGGGCATGGCGGCAGAGTCTGGACTTGAATAGAAGCGGCACCGTTCATTTTACAGATTTCTGCCAAGCTTGCCGCCACATGGGCTTTCAAGGCGGGCGGGACAGAGTCGAAGATGCCTGAAGTGGTAATGATCTTGGGTAGAGTTTAGGTGCGGTTCGCATGGGCTGCCGTTTTCGTTCCTGGAGGTAATCTGAAAGCCCTGTGGCTCTCCTTGGATTCCGCCGACAAAGGGGAAGTCTGCCTGGACGACCTGGACCCCGATGCGGTGACCTGCCTGTTGGATTTCACCCGCCTGCTTCGGATCTTCTTCGACGACTTAGACTCGAGCTGGTTCGTGGTCCTGGACCCCGAGGCATCGGGACGATGCACGATGGAGGAGTTTGAGCGGGCTTGCAAGGTTTTGGGCTACATCCGCGATGCGAAGCAACTCCAGCGGTTCCTTGACATCTGCAACAACGGGGTCATCACTATTGATGAGCTCGAGGCCGTCGGAACTGAACTCCGGAACTTTTCCTCGGGGGAAATATGAAGCAGCGATGTGCAGGTGCTTGGCCTTCCCAGGGGATCCATGGAGGAGGCTGGCCAGGGGAGCCTGTACAACAAACAGGGTAATGTGTTTCTTTGAGATGTACGTAGGTAGGTACGTATGTCCGTTCGTGCGTCGGTCCGTCCGCCTGTTACAGATGTACACGCGTACCTATCTATGTCTGTTTGTGAGGATGAAGGGAGGGACGCTTGCATGAGTGCATGTACGTATGCATTGCATGTGAAGCCTCAGATCCCGAAGAAAACACACATCGGCAAGGGTTGTCAGTTGTCATTGTCATTGATCAAGGACTACAATATCATACGTACGACACCTGACGAAAGCAATGCAAAACAGGGCCCGAACATGCAGACTGCAGAAAGAGCGAGAAGCAATCGACAATGACCTGGGAACATCACAGATCCCGTGTTGCCTAAGAGGGAACGTGGATCAAGCCTACTCCACCGTGTATGTACATGCTATGTTATTACACATATTCAGATTAGTATTCATTCTTACGAGTTCTGAGTATCAATATCAAGTATCACTATTATGATTTGATATGTATATGTTGACTCTCCCTTTGTATGTATTCTATATATGTGCACACATATATGTATGTATGTATGTATGTATGTATGTATGTATGTATGTATGTATGTATGTATGTATGTATGTATGTATGCATGCATGCATGCATGCATGCATGCATGCACACACATGTCCTCTGGAACGCATGTAGGCACAGGCCAGGGCCAAGGCCTGAAGCCCGGCTAAGTTCACGTCAAGTCGTTTGCCATCATGACTTTGCGCTGAGGTTCAGCCCAGTGAAGCCCGGGAGGAACTCGACAGGATTCTCCAGGAGCGGCAGAGCGGGGTAGAAGAGCTCTACCCTGTTGTACAGACTGTTTGTAATGGTGGGTTCCTTCTGCCTGCTGGTCCTGGCCTTCTCCGAAGTTTTTAGACGATTTGCAAGCCCTGCGAGGCCAGATTCGGTCCGAGTGCTGCGCAGGGTTGGCCGGAAGCCAAGTTTGACGAAAACATGTACCATGATACACTAAACAATACTTTAATATGCTAACTTTACTATAGTAGTATTGGTATACTATAATATACTATAGTATACTTCATAGTATACTATATAGTATACTATGCAGTATACTATGTAGTATATTATATAGTAATAGTATACTATAGTATCGAGAGTTGGAGTCACAGCCCAGCGACTCCTGGAGTGCTGCCAAAGGCGCCAAGGGCTCTGCGCCGGGCCTCTGGAGCAACAGTGGACCGAAGAAATGAGTGTGGAGGAGCCGTGAGCCTGTGGGGAATCGATGTTGAACAATCTTGGTGAGGTCAGGGCAGGAGCGTACTACATAGTATACTATAGTATCTTCTAGTGTGTTCTAGTATATTATACTATATTATAGTCTATTATGTACATATGATAGTATAATATAGCCATGATTGCCGTTGTGCTGCCAGTGTTTTTGCCAGGAGTTCTGCAATCGTTGTCGTCAACTTGGTTTCCAGGCCCATTGCATCCTTGCCATGCTGCTTCCGATGCCAAGCGACCTGGAAGCCAGGGAAATCTTCTTGCCTTGTGGGCGCAAGTGCACGGCGCAGGTCCCCGCATCTCATCATGCGGCTGCATGATCAGATGACTGCCTTCACGACCCGAGATCTGCACAATTTGCAGCCTTTCTTGCTCGAGTGCTGCGTTCCGTCATGTCGCTCAGCATAGCTCCGCTCGCTTTGCCTCCCACAGCTAGCCTGCAAGCATCCTTGCAGGCATGCAGTACCTGTCAGAGACAAAGCGCTCGACTGTCTGACAAGAGTGGTCACTCGTGGTTGGGTCTTTCTCTCGGGGGCCTTGTGTTGGGCCTCGCGTCCAGCAGAGGGAAGCCGCTGGCCGCCAAGTCTGTGCGCTCAGCCCGCCAAGCCCAGGCCAAGTTTGGCTTTGTGCAGGGGCTTTCAGTCAGTTCATCGAGGGAGCTCAAGTGCAAAATGCAAGCCGTTCCGGCGGAGAAGCCATCCAGAACGCGACTTGACTGCACGAGTTTTGTTGGGTCTCTTGCCGTCTCTTATTGTCGGTAGTAAAGGGGATTTGCCTGACCTGACAAGGACACTCTTTACGAAAGCTGGGGCGGACGGAGTGTCACTGGGCGACTGCCCCTTCTCGCACTCCGTTCAGATGGCGCTGAAGATGAAGGGTGTTGACTACGATGTGGTGCCTTGTACAGAGGCAACGAAGCCTGCTTGGCTAGTGAGTGAAGTAGACGGCCAAATGCCGTGCGTGGTCCACGAGGGTGTGCCTCATGTGGAAACCAAGCAGATTCTGGGATGGATCGAGCAGCAGTTCCCAGGACCTTCCCTCGCAGTACCCGAAGAGTACGTGAGTGTGGTAGACAGGTCACAGATCTTTCCCGAGATTGCAGCCTATACAAAGAACACAGACAGCAGCAAGGATGATGAGCTCAAGCTCAATCTGCAGATGGCCTTGACGCGGCTGCGGAACCACTTGTTCTCTCTCCCCAATGACACGAGGTTTATGGCTGGAGATACACCTTCTCTGTTGGATTGTGACCTCATGCCCAAGCTTTACGTTCTTCAGAACGCCACGAAGCACTTCAAAGGCTACAGCCTGGATGACCTGATGGTGACAGATGACGTCCGGATGTACTACGAGAGAGCATCCGCACTGCCGCCCTTCGTTGACAGTTGCTATCCCCCTGATGTATGCATCTCGGGCTGGCAGCAAGCTCGAGGTGGATGATGTGGATGACATCGTCGACTCTCGCTTTTGCTACTGCATCGGAGGCATCATCAGGCACTTGGTCTACATCTTTCAATTCTTTAAAGCATTTTCCGTTGTTCGCGCATGACACTTTTGAAGATCGTCAGCCAAAAGAACGGTCGCTGCAGTGCACAGAGGATCTGCGCCGGACGAAGGATCCAGGAAGTCTTTTCTCGCTCTCTTTCGCTCTTTTGCTCCATGTGGCCAGGTCTAGACCCCGAGCTCTTGCAGGCAGACACAGGGTGAGCTGAGGAAGTCTGCAGCCTCTGTCCAAACTGGAGAAGAGAGGGTCAGCTCTTCAGTGTCCTGCCTGTTCAGGCGCACCAGTTGATGCTGATGGGTCGCAAGAGAGCTGGCAGAGCCCCCAGCTTCTTTTTTTCCGGCTCCGGCATTGCGCCTGGTGGTCTTTCTGAATGTCTGGGAGATTCTGGGAGGTATGCGCACCTCCACTGCGGAGAGGCATGTTGGAGCGGCTGAGAGGGTTGTATTTATTTAGGGCCTGCAGCGTGTCGGGCTTGACTCAGGCGGATCCGCCTGGCGGCATCTGATCCTGGTGCGTCAAGCCGCAGCAGCCCGCAGCCCTTGTTGAGTTCCGTCGAGATGCTTCGTCTTCGGATTGTGGCGTGCGTATCGATTGCTCCCCAAGGCGCCGCGCAGACATCGAGTCTGAACCTATTTGAGAAGCCCGTTCGTGACCGGGGCGAGACACAGGCAACATGATGGAAGCAATGATCGTCAAGATCAGACAAGAGCGATGTGCCTTGCAGGTCAAGTTGCTGGGGCGTGCGGTGCTCAGGTTGAGCTGTGTCAAACGCACGGATTTCTCAGCATGTGAGGCATTTCGCTCCTTGACTTCCTACCTGTCAGGAACTCAGGGGTCATACCAGGTCTGCCAGGTCTGCACCAAGTGCCAAGGCGCTGCATAAAGAGCTGCTCCAATTCCGGAAGAAGGCAATGGCAAAGCAGCATCCTTAAGGTCCTCGAGCTGTCGGCATTTGCACGACTTTGCCCGTCCTGTAAGGTTCCATTCTGCAGAAGACCTGTGGGCAGTCCTCCTGCAGGAGTGTGTTAGCAGCAGCTGTAGCAGTACCTGTAGTAACAGCAGGAGTCGTAGTCGCAGAAGCAGTATGTTTCGGTCGTCGTCGCAGTCGTGGTGGCGGCGGTGATGGTGTCGGTGGCGTCAGTGGGGTGGTGGTTCTTGGGCTCCAACAGCGGGGTTTGTATCGGTCTTTGCAGCATCAGCGAGCGAGTCTACATGGAAACAGAGGTGCAAGCAGCAACTCTGTCCGAATCTAGCCGAAGATCTGTGGACACTATTTCGTGGCGTCAAAGCTGGGAGGCTGTCTTTGTTGCTGTCGCTTCTGCTGTTGTTGTTGTTGTTGTTGTTGTTGTCGTTGCTGTGGTGTCTGTCGTCGTAGACTTCTTGTAGAGCAGCTCGCTGACTGGGGCGCGAGGAGTCGCTGAAATCAGGTGACTCCCGTTTGAGGAAGGCGCCGATGGGTGCCTCATGGTGCCTCTTCTTCGATCGTACGTCCCTTTCCGGCAGGTCGAATTTGCTCAAGCTGCACGACGCGCGATTGGGCAGCTCGGCAGTGCCTGGAAATGGTCAGCATTCGCGTGCAGACAGCAGTGCAGCAGTCGGAGTCAGAAGCAAACCGCACTGTCGCTGAGCTGCGAGCTTCGAGTTGAATCCGGTGTCCCCGATGCGGCCGTTAGCTTCAAGCTGCTCACTGCAGCTGCCAGGAAAACCCAGTGATTTAAGGAAGAGCGCAACAAGCTGTAACCCGACAGGATTCGTCACGGCGGTCTTTCGCAGGCAACTGGAGACAGAACCCGAGGGGATGCATACTTGTGCTTCGGTGCCTCTGTAAGCTCAGACTATGTTACATGCGTAAGGCTGAGCAGCCGATGTGGGCATGACGGAGACGGACAAAGAGCATCCGCAGCCATGGCGGCAGGCAGTTCAGCTCCTTCAGCTCCGGCTCCGCCGGGCAGTGGGGAAAAGTCGCACTTGTTCAACTTCACGGGGATCTCTGCCAACAAGGCAGGTATGGGAGCTGACAGGAAGCTGGTTGCCGACTTCGTCTACGAGAAGAGCAAGAACTCGCAGTACACGCAGCATCAGCTTGAGCTTGATGCAAAGCAACAGGCGAGAGCAGAGCTGGTGGCGAAAGAGCTGCGCATTGCCGAAGCGAGAATGTCCGAAAGCGAGCTGCTATCGGAACGGAGGAAGATCGAAGCCGAGCTAGAAGCGCTTGAGAAGCATCGGGATCTTTCTCGAACCCACTGTGTTGTTGACATGGACATGTTCTATGCTGCAGTTGAAATTCGAGATCAGCCAAGCCTGGCATCAAAGCCCGTAGCTATCGGAGGATTGGGGATGATATCCACCGCTAACTATGTGGCGCGCTTGTACGGGGTCAGAGCTGCAATGCCAGGCTTTATCGCAGTTGAAATGGTGAGAAATCCGGCTGCCATTGGATCCAAGATGCCGCCGGACGAGCTTGTTTTCATCACGCCAAACTTTGCGAAATACACGCAGGTGGCGATGGAAACAAGAGAAGTGTTTCGGCAGTATGATCCGCACTTCAAGGCCATGTCCCTGGATGAGGCGTACTTGGATCTTACAGATTACTTGGCTGCGCACGGGGTCAGCGCAGAGGCTGCGGTGCAAGAGATGCGAGATCGGGTCAAGGCGCGCACTGGCATCACTTGCTCGGCCGGCATCGGTCCCAATCGGATGGTTGCCAAGATAGCTTCGGATGAGAGAAAGCCTGATGGCCAATCGCAGGTTCTACCCACGAGGGAGGCCGTCTTGGAGTTCATGGACCGTCTACCGGTTCGCAAACTCCCGGGTTGTGGGAAGGTGCTGGAAAACCAGATCTCGATCATGTTGGGCGTGCAAACCTGTGCTGAGCTTCGAGCTGCTGCTGCGCGTGTAAAACGCGCATTTCAGGGAAGGAAGACCTGCAGCTTTCTTCTGCGGGCGTGCCTCGGCCTTTCCTCTGATGAGCTCGCCGAGGAGGGGGGAGAGGTTGGCAACGTGGCCCGCAAGTCCTTGTCCTGCGAGCGCACCTTTCGCGCGGAATCGGAGCCCGCAGAGCTTCGTGGACGCTTGCGCGATCTCTGCAGGCAGGTCAGCGAGGACCGGGTGGATGAAATGGGTGTATAAGAGCTGCATACAGGCCGAACAGGCTATCCATGTGTTATGTGGTACCGCGACAGTTTCTTCTTGGAGTCCCAGAGCAAGACTAGTACTCTCTTAGGTTTCCAGTTTCTGGTCACTAAACCCTCCAGGACATGGCGGCTTCTGTTCCACCTCTTGCGGGTCGCGTTGTGGCACTGAAAACGAAGGCCTCGAGCTTTGAGGTGCGGAATAAGCAGATCAGTCTGATCCAGCCCGTGGGCTTCAGTCCCAACTTTGGGAAGGAAGGAGAAGACGGAAGGGAGCATGCAGAGCAGGAGACTGCTCGCGTGACTCAGGAGCTTTACAAGTTGCTGGAGCCTGTTTTAGAAGAGCAGTTTCCCTGTCACTTGCGCCTCATGGGAGTCCGTATGTCCTCTTTCAGAGACCAGCGTGCGACCCTCGACAAGGGACAACAGTTGATCAGCTTCTTTCAATCCAAAGGCTCTGAGCAGCCGGAGGGCTTTGCTGCAGGGGCTGGGCCGGACAATTTGAACACCGGGATGCCGAAGCCACAGAGCCAGGCGGCCAACGTGATTGACCTTGACAGTTCCCAAGAGGATCTAAGAGACAAGAGCAGAGACCCTCCTGTCCAGAGCCAGAGCCTGCCAAAAGGCTGCTTAAAGCGAGTGGTGGAAAGACTTGCTGGTCGTGCCAAAAGGATCCGCCTATCTGGTGTCTGTTGTCCAGTCTGCGGCGTGCGAGTGCCTGAAGATCAAGCGAATCAGCACGTCAACGCTCACTACGGGGACCAATGAAGTGAGCGGGAGGCATCGACTCGCGAGAAAAAGTGGATGGGCTGTTGCACAGCAACTTTTGGATGTTCCAGCAGACAACCTAATTTCTAGCTTTGTTGCCATGCTGAGGTTCACCGGCAGCGCGGATTTGGTGTTCGAGGCAAAGTGGTTGCAGATTGCTCTTTTGCTTCGAGACGACCTTTTCGAAGGCCTGTGACATCGAGCAGCGACACTCCATTTCTCTGCAGGATGTATGAAAAGAGTGATGCCTGCAAGAAAACATCGACTCCAGCTTCACTTCTTGCACGCTGCCCTCTCGGAGGACTTCAACTTCCTGCAGATTGGCGTCTCGTTTAGCAAGATTCTCCAGACCTGATCGAGCCGGAAAAACTGCCGTTGCCTGCTTTACCAGGGTCTTGCATTTTTGTCCATAAGAGGCTGGCATCCAATTGAGTTCTGATAGCTTTTGCCTGCGCATCATCTTTGGCCTTGTTCGGCTCGTATGTGGCCCCTTTCCAATGTACAGCCTGCAGGGCGTAGTGGCAATGGCAGAGGCACAGATGAAGCAGTGGAAGCCGGCTGTGAACAGATGTTGCAAACTTCTTTTCTCTGTTCAGGACACGGATCTAAAATGCTGCAATATGCGGCCTCCCGGTAACCTCCCTTACCGCCCTCGAGCCAAGGACTGCCTGAGTTCCGGCGTGTGCTGTTCCGCCGGGTTTCGTTTTCTGAGCGAATCGAAGAGGACCGGAGACATGGTCAACTCCTGAAGGCGGTGACCGAACGCGTCGTCGAAGTCTACAGTACCTGCTCCCCCGAATGAACTGGGCATGGGATGGTAGTCCGGGTCAGATGGGATGCGGAGCTACACTGAGTGCCATCGAAGAAGTCAAGGCTCCGGAGAGTTCACCTACTCGACGGGCTCGTGCTCCAGCTACAGCTACGATGACTGCTTTTGCACGTGGGATGGGAGAGTGTCTTCTTTGTGTCGGCGTGGTAAAGTCAGCCGAGGAACCCCAAACGCACGCTCACCTGGCCGTGCGAAGGTGTACATAATTCAGGACTTGACAATGCGGAGCACAATTACATTTGCCACTCAGATGTTCAAACGCTGTGCTTTCCTGTGCTGTTGAAAGTCATCAGAGCTGACTGTTAGGCGCAGGGCCATGTACGCGAGTTACGAGATGTTGTAGTCTGCTTGGACCCAAGGCCATGTTGGAGACAAAGTCGTGAACGACAGCCAGGAATTTGGAAAGGCTTATGAGATTATCGAGAACTTGGGTGTTGGGCTTATATCCTCTGAGACGAGGAGAGGAGAGGAGACAGACAGTGCGCTTGGGAAAGCTTTGCAGCTGTAGGTCAAGGCAGCTTTGGCCAAGTGCTGAAGTGCCAAGTCGATGGTTCTCCGCCTCGCGCTCAAAATAGTGTCGGGAAGGAAGCGCTCGTGCCTTCCTCTGAGCGCTCCCGTCAAGGCCAGTGGCGCTGAAAATCAGCAAAAACAAGCCGGCCTATTTCAACCAGGCCAGCACCACAATAGCCAGGCCGTGCGATTGCATCCTGCTGACAGGGCTGCATCGAAGCCAACGTCTTGAAGAGACTAAATTGCTTCGACACGCGCCTTGGCCTGACCTGGCTTAGCCTTCTTCGACGGGTTCCGTGGACCTTGCAAAGGTTTTTTTGTGATCCATCTCGCTGCCACCATCTGAGGCAGCACATTGTTCGAATGCTGGATTGTTTCGTTTTTCGGAAGCACCTCTGCATTGCCTTCGAGCTGTGTGGGCCTCAGCATGCCTGCATCGAATTCTACCTTCTGCGCTCGTTTCTGTGGCGAGGTTAAGCATGAACCTGCTGGAGTTCCTGAAATGGAACAAGTACCGCCGTGTGGCGATGCCTACGATCCAGACAGTCACGAAGCAACTGCTGAAGGCGGAAGCGGTCTTCGAGCAGGATGCATCATGCGCAAGCAAGCCGATGAACCCCAGACATCCAGGGACATGGAGACAGAGACAGAAAGAGAGCTTTCAAGCATCGGGCGGAGGGGGGGGGCACGGAACAAGGAATGGTTACTCGTACTCAGCAGGGGGAGCCGAAACCAGGAGTGGGAGGGATGCACGGCGGGAGCTTTCTGATTCTACTCGGTGCTTCAGTTTCGCCGGCCGACCAGCAGAGGGGCTTGCCCTTGTCATTGTCATTATTGCCATGCTTGCTAGATATGATTGTTAGTCATGTATGATTGTTAGAATCGTCATTGTCACTGATATTGTGGTACCCTAGGCTAATCTGAAAGACTAACTGTTGCACGCTGCCAGGCTTTGCAGTGCTTGCGGGATGCTGCGCTGATACACTGTGATCTCAAGCCTGAGCTGCCCGACCGATTTGGCGTGGGTTTCGTCAGGTGCAGTAATCTGAGAGCTACTAGTAGCTTCGGCATTGCACATCAGCCGTTTTGAGGAATGTCATGGTGTGCACTCTCGATCCCATCAGGACCTGGCTTGTCCCTGTTTGCATGTGGCCTTGAGCACTGCTGTCCATCACCTTGGGCAGGATCAAGCTGATTGATTTTGGTTCGGCGTGTGCAGAGTTTCACATGATGCACACCTATATCCAGTCGCGGTTCTATCGGCGGGGGACCAAACGTGTTCGACATGATTTGGAATGTTGTGCTGAGCTGCCCTGTTTAATCTCGAGGTCTCCAGAGGTGCTGTTGGGCCTGCCATACTCAAGCGCCATTGATTTGTGGTCTCCAAGCTGCAGCTGTCCACAGCTGTCCGAAATGCCCGAACATGCCCGAAACCCAAGGAGCTTGGGCTGCATCTGCGCAGAGCTGAACCTTGGGTTGCCGCTCTTCACAGGCCGTGACGCAGGGATGCCCCGAACTCTGGTGAACTGTGCCTGGAACGCCGTCCTGAGGGCAGTGCGAGTATGACCAGATTCGCAGCATTACCAAGCTGCTTGGCCTTCCTCCTGCAGAGATGCTCAGCATGGGCAGCAAGACCAAAAGGCCAGAGCACGAAGAGAGTCCAAGCAGGTGTCTACATGTAGACTCTGTGCAGCCAAGCGCGAGGTACTTCCGGCGCGAGGAGGATGCAGGTTGCAAGGACGACTTGGACGTGCCGCTAACGCTGGGAGGCGATCTCCTGGAATTGTGGGTACCGCAAGCTTTCAGTGCCAGGTAAATCCTGAACCCACGACCCTGAGCTTTTCAGGCTTTCATATGGAGTCCTCTCTTTCATCCTCCCGGAGCTAGCGGGGAGGGGAAGACGCACCCCTTTCAGGTTTCACGGCTTAGGGTTTATATAAGGCATTGGGGTTTGGGTCTTACGGTGGAGCACTCTTATAGATCCCTCAAGGTTTACGGCATGGACTGGACAGCAGTGCACCCTGCCAACAAATCCCAAGGCATCAGACAAAATCCAACCCTCGAGCTGCAAAGCCCCGAAGCCATCTCTAGAGCTTCAGACTTCCATGCCGGACTACTTGGCTTTGCCTGCCACTCCCTTCAAAACGGCCGCCCCCGAGCTTGCACTTTCAAGCACAATCGTAGACACCGCTTCCTCCTGAGCAGCAGTGCCAGGGCTCAGTGGCTCCGTGGATGTGGTCGAGGTGCTTCTAGTCCTTAGATGGTGGCACAAGTGCAGTTGCACTGAGAGAGATGGAAGGTCTCAGAGACGCTTTCAACGCAAACTACCGCCCCGAGTCAAGGGAGCTCCGAGGACCGCGGAAAGCTGACGAACTGGATGCTTCTTATGCAGATCGAAGAAGCTGCAGGAGAGCACCCTTCCGCCGAGTTTGCCAGGCAAGCTTGTTGCCAGCGGGTTGGCATTCCTCGTCAAGCGTGGTGGTATCCTAGAAGCGCGAATAGACGCAGACTCCGTGTGTGGAGTGCAGATGCCGACAGGTGGAGAAAGTGCTGGCCAGGACCAGGAGAGATGAAGCTGTAACCTAGGCGAACCACGGCAAAGAGCCGTGTCGAACGAGAGGTCCGAGGAGTGCTTGATTCAAAGCATCTGCGAGGAGCCATCCAGAAGAAGTCTTGCTGAGCGCAAGCGGAAAGTCCATTATTCCTGGAGACTGAAAACGAGTGCCCTGGCCATAAATAGTCCTTCAATTAGCACCACTGAACGTTGGACCGACTTTCGGGCATGATGCGATAAGGTGAGGAGTACGAGAAGGACTCGAACAAGAAGGCAGCCGAAGCCTCAGGCTGCTTTTTCCGGCCATCTTCCGAGAAGAGCTGTGGCACTATTAGAGGTGTTCTCAAAGCGGAGCTGGCCCTTCACGCCCGGCCCGAGTTTATCTGCCGCTGAACGTTTGCTCAGTCAGGTTGTTGCTTGCCTCTGAGGTCCTTGGGAGAAGTCGTAGCTCAGGTGAGTGAGGACAGGGCACGGCAGAAAAATTCTCAAGCAGTCTTGCTGCTTCTTGTCCAAGCTGTGCGTGCACGACCCTAATGAAACGGTTTTGACAGTCTGTCCTGGTTGCAGCACGTGCAAGAATCACATAGTTCGACAACGTGTGCGAGTGTCTTTCATGCTGACTCGCCCCAGATTCTAACCCCTCCAAGCCTTGTCATCAGCGAATGGAGCTGGTTCCTTCCAAATCCTGCCACAAGCTTCCCAATCATTCAGCATGCTCGGACGGAAACTCAACTTGACCTTCTTGACAGAGTGACGAAGCGTGACAAATGACAGCGCTCACATGTTTTCAGACACTCGGACACGCATTCAAGAGTTCTCGGGATGAACGCTAGTTGCAGGAAAGCCGCTCGTGCTTTCTTCAGTTCCTGACGGGTCTCTTCCAGATCAACCCCAAGTGCCGCTGGACAGCCAAGCAGGCCGACAGAAGTAATGTGTTTTTGGTCTCGTACATTGCTAGTTTCTGGGCCGCAGGCGCTGCAGCACTCCTTTGTGAATGAGGAGACTTTGCTTAATTCGATTCTGAATTTGGTCCTCCTTTTTGACCGTGGCTTGTGAGCGGCATGGCCCCGGGTGCTGCAACCACAGGAGGTTCCCTTTGATGTGGATTACCAGCCACCCCATGACGATGTCGGACCTGTTTTGGGATGGTCGCCTCTCATGGGTCTGCAGCCCAGCGTGCAGTTGACATGGTGAGACGGCGGTGCTCTCGCAGCAAGGCCATCCTGCCTCTGCCCTGTTGGGCCCTGCCTGCGCTGCCCTCAGAAGGCGCCGTGCTCGTGCTCTCGCGGAATTGTACCTGTGCCAGGTCCTGCGCCGAGCGTTCCCGGACACGCGGCGTCGAGCACCACAGGCCAGGCTCATCTAGAGTTGTAAGATACGACACAGATGTGGTCGAGACGCAGGCACTCCAGCATCGTCACCGCATGGCTCGGCATCCTCGACGGCCACGGCTTCAAGCGGATTTTGTGTAGAATCCGAGCTTTTCAGTCACAGAGATCAGGTCATGTCCAGTGCCGCGCACGGAACGTCGCTGCAGGGATATGCTTGGGCCTCTGTTTGCAGAGCATAATATTAGATTCCATTGTTCTGCAAGGGGTGTTGATCAAGGTGCATGTCTCCTCGCCATGGCATCTAGCTTCGCCTATGGATGGAAGTGCCTCCGAATCCTAGCAGCATCAACCACAGTCAATTTCAGCCATGCAGAAGTTGCAGCACAGGAATGCAGAGCATCTTCCCAGCCTTCGGGCTCTGAGTCTTGGGGCTTGGGCAGTGACACATCAGGCGCGCCACCATGGGTCACTGTAGGGAGGGAAGCAACTAAGTCCCAACCTCGAAACCCTGTTTCTTTTGTGAGGCTCCTGTCGTGGCCGCTCCTCGAAGCTCTCCGATTCCGACTCAGCCAGCGCCGTGGGATCCCATCATGGCTCTGGCCGCGAGGAGACGGCAGAATGCTTACTACGGCTTACCGAGATTCCCAGACTGCCAGACCAGGGATACTGGATGATACTAGTCTACGTCTTCCGAGGGGCAGCGACGACGGGGGAAAGAGCTACTTGACGGCATGCCAGCTCGGAGTCGCCTTGCTCGCGCTCCCTGCGAGCAGAGGCCACGGTTCTGGAAGCAGATGACCATTGCCCGCGCGAGTCTCGGCCTCTTTGTCTCACTTTGCCTCTTTGCCTTGGCCGTTTTGCCCCCTTTCTTCAGGTGGCCGACTAGAAAGCGCATGTGCGTGGAGCCCCAAGGGCGCTCCTTCTGGGGGCAGTTTCCGCGAGGCATGGGCTTGCACTGGTTTGCTGGCGTAGGTTGGGCTTGGGCTCCTGAGGCGTGGTTTTGCTAGCTCGACGGCCCCCATCTGTCAACTGCATCAGTCAGGACGCCCTATCAGACAGTACAACGCTCGAGGCATGCAGGATTCCCATCCCTTGAACAACCCCTTATTCCCCTTTGAAACAGCATGGGCTGCAAGCAGTCTTCCCAACATGGTACCTGCTCTACGTTGTTCAGCGTTGCTGCAACGGGCTCCAAGCTTGTTTCTATTGCAGGTGCGACATCCCAACGGCACAGCAAGCAGCTTGAAGCTTGACCCGGACATGCCTGGCACATCCTGGCACCCGACAGCCTTTACCGCCTTAAGCGATCCTGTCTCCTTTCCCAATGGATACTGGTCCTTTCCTTGAGATTCGGGAGGTGGAGGGTCGTGGACGTGCGGTCGTAGCAAAGAGAGACTTCCAACCTGGCATGCTGCTATTTGAAGAGCCGGCGCTAGTGTTCGTGAAGACCTGGATGATACTAACTGGTGTGATCGTTTACCGACGGGAGAAGGTCGAGCGCAAGTACGACTCGCTTGCAATGGACTTACAGTCCCAGTATAGGTCCCTGTATCCGGTTTGTGAGGCCCCGAACTGCAAGGTAGAAGCTGGCGAAAGTACGAAGAACCAGCTGAGAAACAGAAGTAGCGGGGATCCTGACGAGACTGCCACTGCCACTGCCGCCAGTCAACCAGACGCTTCGCCTTTGACTGCCCAGCAACACCTGCAGATTTGGGACACATGTGGCTTTCACTACTGTGACTCGCTTGACGACCACCGCAACCAAATACTACACGTAGTCGTTTGTCCGGCTCTGCTCAGTGCAATAACTGGCTGTGCATATGCGTATCGCTACCAGGCACAATACGTAAAGTCTGTTCTTGCTGCGGGTGTTCTGTTCTTTGCAATAGTTGGCCCCGTGTGTTACAGACTTTTTTATTTTGGGTCGCAGGCTCTGTTCGTAAAGGGATCAAGGCTGAACCACAGTTGCCAGCCGAACACCGAGTGGCAAATTCACGCTGCTCCCGTCCCCGTCTTGTCACTGCGCACGAAGCAGAGCGTGAAGAAGGGTGAGGAGTTGACGATCGACTACATCCGAGAGCTTCCAGACCTGGAGCAGAAAGAACGTCGAAAGCTACTGCAGCAAGACTACGGATTCTTGTGCACGTGCTCTCGCTGCGTCTCGGCCGAGCATCAGCGCGATGAGTTGGAGGCCGAGGAGCGATGAGAGCAGCGGGGCTGCGCAGCGGTGAGCCGAGTGGAGGTGGAGCCGAGTGCAGCCGGACGGCGCGCAGGCAGCTTGGGCCGCGGTTCTGAAGGTCCTCGGCATGCAAAGCGTACAAAGCTACGGAAAAAGGAGTGCGAGAAGGGGCAAGGGAGAGAAGCATGCAAAGCGGTGCAGAAGTTGTGCTGTTGGCAGGCCGTGGGGATGGGCGAATCAGGCCCTGTGATCGTGCCCGTGGGGCCGCAAAACTTCACGAAGCCCTCTGGTGGCCCAGAGGCCCAAAGCGCCAACAATTAGATGAAGGTGTTCCTGATCCTTCTTCCCTGGAAGGATGCCTTCCTGGTCCCCTCCGAGATCTCCTGGAGGTCGCATGGCAAGGTGCCTTGTGGAGATGCCCGGAGTCCGGGAGGCTGCGGGGTCATGGCCATGGAAGCCTCTTTGCAGTGCAGGGTGGACGCAGAATGAGAAGGCGGCGAGGCGCGGCGGGCCTAAAGCGGCGCTAGACTGGTAATTGTGCCCTCAGCAGTCCGATCGATTCGGGCCAAGAAAGCTGTGGGAAGAGTCCGTTAAAACGGATTTTGCTGTGCCAGGCCCTGCTCAAGGATGACAAGGTGGAATTGGAATGTCTCGAGCACTCGAGACTCCAGCTCCGCTACTCCTTGCATGTAATGAGGATCCTGTTCAGCTGCTGGAATCCTCCCCTTCAGAGCAGCAATGTTTTTTGTTTTGGGTTCTGGCGGACGTCAACTTGACAACGCAAGCCTTCAATGGCACCGCGAGGCAGCACAGTCACAACATGTCACAAGAGAGGGAGGCTTCTGCCAAGTTTTCTAGGACAGACATGCCCAAAGAATCATTTGAACAGGCTGGGCGCATGTTTCATAGTTTCACTTGCAGTTGCACGGATCCTAGTGTCAACATAGCAACGTGGACAAGTCACTGGTTCAATGTTTCCCAAGGCCGAGACAATTTCATGGACTTGAGAGTCAGGAGCAGTATCCCCAATTCCGAATATAGCCCTTACAGAAGCAAAGCCTTGAAGGAACCCGGATAGAGTCCGAAATCCTACACTCTATACTGGTGCTTCAGGAGACGGCCCATGACTTGTCCGTTAATCGGATTTCTGTACAGCCTAATGGGAGGGTCTGACGCAGATTCGAATCCTGGAGGGCACCATGCAGGTCGTGCCAGCGGGCCCCACACTTCGAATCTCCGTGTTTGCAATCTGAAACAACCTTTGCATGCCGGAGGCTCCATATTCTTTGAGTGTAGTGTTACTTCATGAGCGACGAGATCATGGTGACAAGAGAAAGTCAGCCGGCACTGCATGTGTACCAGTACGATATCCCCCATGTTAAGCTGGGGAGATGATGGCACTTGCGATCCCAGCAGCGCCCGCGACGAGGTTCGGTGAGGTCGGTGCGCGTTGTGTGCGAATGCGCCGAGGTTAGCTCTGCAGCACGGCAAACATGTGATGCCTTTGCGACAAACCACCAAGACGCAAGAGCCGAATTGAACAAAATGTTCAGGTCTGCATTCGGGAAGCACTGAACTGCCATGATGCATGGAGCTTCAACTGGCGAGGCCGCTCTAGTTTGCTCAAGCCCAAAATGGCATTCAGTCGTAAGAAGCAGAGATCGACTTGAGCTTCCTCGGCACCTCGGAACCCAGCATTTCACGCTGTCGCATGCCGGACATATTGCGGGGCATAGACGCGCGGCGTCATGACACCAATGGCAGCGCCGCATCAGGATGGACGGTCGGAAGGTGCCCAATGCGTTGCGGGATGTTGGTGCATGGCTTTTGACTTGATCTGCTCGGGTTTGCTAGCCATCAGGGGGGGGTTGGCAACTCCTGAGCCACGAGCAGCCAGCTCATTCGGATAATCGCGATGTCCAATCGGAGAGCACTTCACCGGGCTGAGTCTGTGAAGAATAGTATCAACAAGCTATGGACAGAGCTCACCATGACTAGCGCACAAAGAACGAAAACTGGCCCAGAGCCTGCAAAGGCTCCCACCAGGCGTATTGACTCTGACATGTTCTGCTGGTACAGCATATGGGAGTTTCCGAACATTAGGGTACCTTATTTGGGGGTCCTTATAATAAGGATCCTACTATTTAGGGTACTATATTAGGGTCCCCTATTTTCGGAAACCCCCATATGACTCGGCATCCTGCACGAAAGGATTGCACGCCCACTTGCCCAGCTGCAAGTCCAACCTTGGAGGTGGTGCGCTCCATTCGAAGTCCTTGCTGGATTTCCTCGATTGCCCAGGCGCTCGCATCAGGTGAGTGTGCTTTATTTCAGTCAGGCGTCGGCGCGGATCCGAATCCAGCAAGATCCATCAAACCTCCGGCCTAGCGGCCAGGAGCCGACCTGGAGCGTCCCAGACCTGAGCCTGAGCGGAGCGGCTCGTTCTGGAGTCTTCTGCTCAGCGCGGCGCTGAAGCTCTGACCCAAAGCGCGAGCCGAGAGCGCCGAGGTTGGCTGAGCGGTCCTTTCGCCTGGGGCGCTCCAGGACTTCCGAGAGTCTTCCCCTGGCTTGGGTGCTTCGGTGCAGACGAAAGGCATCGATACGACCGTGAAATGCAAAGCCGGAAGCAAGGCCATCTGCGAGGCTTTGGAAATCTCTGCCTGTGACGCTGGGACAGCCCGTGAAGGGATTTTTGGGCTCTGCAGGCTGCTCTGCCGGCACCAAGAAGTGCTGTGCCCCTTCCTTGGGTCTGCAGCGAAGATGTGACGCCACACCTGGAAGATGCCATCCAAACCTTGGACAAAGAGGCAGTCTGACTATCGGTCAACGTGCTTGCACCGCCTCTTCTCGCACGTCAGGGCTGTCTTCTCATCGAAAGTGCCGTGTCGGCACACGCCTGCCAAAGATTGGCAGAATTTGTGCCTCGGCAGTTTCTGAGCAGATGCCTAGAAACTTCAACTTTTGTAAGAGTGGCTTCTTGTTTATCATTGCACCTTGAGGTTGACTGCGCCCTGGCATCTGCACACCAGGAAGTGCACCAGGCCGGCTTCCGTCGCCTCGGGCAGTCGTGTCGCGACGGCCATGATGAAAGGCCTCCGATGCGAGGATCAGATCTGGGCTCATGAAACGGTGCCCTCTCAAGGAAAGGTGTCAGCAACAGCGCGGAGCAGCCTGCGTCCTAGGTGCCTGCTGTCTGCGAGGTACTTTCGAAAGCTGGTGCATGAAGGAAAGCAGGAGCCGGCCCTACGTGCTCTTGGTGGGTGTGGGTCTGTGCGCTCAGAACTGCGGAGTTGTGCGAAGCTCTTGGCAGGATCGGATCGAGTTGACCCTGCCCTTGGTGTCGGAGGCTGGGCATGGAGGGGGGACTACGGCTCAACAGCAATCAAGGAACTCTTGTTTTGCCGTGGGTCGTAGGCCAAGCCGCACGGTCTCCATTCCAACACTTCCATGTGTAGTAGTTGACTGCACCGAGTGGGTAAAGGGAAAGTCGCCTGAAGGTTCGGGAAGTTCTTGAACCGCTTTGTGCACTCGTGGCTCCCATCCTTGAGCCTTTCCTCTCCCGTGCCTCGGGGTGCAAGAGAAGACGGAAGGGTTTGCTCGAAAAATCTCGGTGACGGGGCTTGACGGGGAAGCAGGTGAGGCTCCCTTGGTGGACCTGTCCTGCATGATCACCGATGCGGACGCAGAGCAGCAGCCGCTGCATGCTGACACGTGACTGGGACTTGCAAGGGCCCTGCAATGCCCTGTATAGCTTTAGGTCGCAGAAGAGCGCTGATGGTGTGCCTCGTTTGGGCTCAGGAAGATCCTCGACAGCGCGCTCTTGCCACTCTTCACGGTGTCGCGCGACTGCACGTAAGCAGCGACGCGAAGCTTTGTGTGGCATGCCGTTCTCAGATGCATTTGGCGCCTGCCAAAGTTGCAAAGGTTCGTGTCTTTGCAAGACATAAGCAGGGAAATGGGCCCGACCTGGCTTTGCCCCCGCTCACACACAGCGGAAAGCTGCTGGACATGATGGGAAACCTTTTCGGTTTTTGAGTAGCATTACGGCATTACGGGTCAGGTCGTTTTAGGCTTCGTGCGGTGCAACCGGAAAGGTCACCTTCGCTTGATGGCGCTGCGAGCAGCACTCCAGTCCAGCAAACCCCGCGATATGGGAGAGATCCTCCTGCAGCAGCTGCCGGTCAGAGAATTTTGAGAATCCTAGTTTCTCCTGACGGTAGAGGCTGCGACTACGCGATTGATGCCTTGCTTTTTTTTTTGCGCAAGGTTTGGAGCCGGTTCTGCAGAGTGTTCGACCGGAACGGCCATCATCATGAATTCTCAGCAACTTGGCTTCGCTGCGGATCAGACCCATCATCCCGGTGTGCTTCTCTGTCCTGCAAGTTCAGGCTGCTACATTGCGGCGGCGCCCAAGCCGCTGCAGAGCGAGGCGGACGACGGCGGCGCTTGCTCTACGAGTCCTGGCTCCACCACAGAATCGTCTTTCAACCACGGAGGGTGTTGGGTTTGGGACGTACACTGGCTTGCAACTGAAGATCTTAAGGTCACATTCCACCGCCCGGGGAATACTCCGGCAGAGCATTCGCTTCGACTCTGGGAAGCGCAAGCAGCAAAGTCTCAGAGCAAAAGGGCAGGAATGGTCAGGGCTGCTTTGGGATAACAACTCAATGAGGAGACGAGCTGGTTGGTGAGTACAGACTGGCTGACTTCGACGGCAGAGCACCTCTGGCACAGGACAAAGATGAGGTCTACCAGCGCCAACTGTCTGAATATCCGGGTAGTGCGACGAAGTCAGAGCAGAACTGATATGCAGCCAAGGACTCTTTGTGGAGGCAAACAAGCGCGGTCTGCAGGCACAGGGCCTATCTTGGGAACTCGAGGCAGGTCTTTAACGAAGTTAGTTCCTGCCAGGCCATGTTGGATTTCGGTCTCTTGCTTCGAACCCGTGGCTGGCCTGCAGAGTCAAACGGGCAAAGCTATCGATCAGAGCAGAGGGCATCGGGGAATCTGCGAGCTGAGTTTTGAGGCGGAGACCGCGGTGCGGTCAAGTGGCTGAAGAGAGCCAAAGACAAGGGCCACCCCTTGGCATCAATGCACCTTGCGGAAGCCAGGCAGAACTCGGAAGGGAGATCTCCCTGAAGAAGTTTGAGTACTGAGTCGTACTCGTTGCAACCATAGCAGTACTCTGTCAGCTACTTCTCGTGACCGTGGGTTGTAGGTCGTCGTTGAGCCCAGGAAATCTACCTCAAGGGAGAGCTGGGGATCTTCCAGGACAAGCGGTCCGAGACGGTTGTGCTTTGCTCTGTACTTCTCTTTTCGGCAGGACCCGATTCAGGGAGAACACTTTCGACAAGAAGGACTGCGGCTGTATCAGGCCCTGAAGCAGCGAGCTTCCTCATCGCCAGACGACGCCCCGGCGGAGTCCGAAAAAGGCCGAGCTCCCTCCGCCGAAAGATTCTCTTCTTGAACTCGGGTGCTTGCCAGCTTCCGGCTCAAACCTAGGACCTAGACAGCCTCGGCCTCAGCAGCGCCCTCTGTGGGAGAGTCCCGGTCACGAGATGGCCTCGGCGCCTCCTTCGGCCGAGGAGTTGGAGGCGAAGAAGGATCTTCTTCACAGTGCCCCGCCGCCTGTGCCCAAGAGCGGCGTGGACCCACAGGTCCTGGCCATCTACCAGGCGACCTTCGATCGCGACTTCCCTGCTGGGGGGATGGCGTTGGTCTGCCAGACTTTGGGCCTCGACACCGAGAAGTACCCGAAGTATTTGTCATGCACCTCGAGAGAAGAGTTTACAGAGATGTCCTTGGGCGCTGTCTAAGCGACATCTGCAGCCTTTCAGTCTTGCCGGGCAGACACGAACAGGAGTGAAGTAGCCGGCAGGATCGTGCGGACTCATGGCTTCGTGCCAACAGAGCATCAGCTTGTCGTGCTAAAGAGGGGTTTGCGGCGGCCGTTGCTTGCATCTTCTGCTGTCGGCATCACGAATGCATCCACAATTGATCCGAGTTCGTCTTCGGCCTACAGCAGTAGCATAGAAGGCCTTAAAGTGTTGCTCTAAAGGAAATCTTTTGCCAGACCTTCTCATCACCTTGCATGGCGCCCCTACCATCCCTGCCCAGACCGCAACTGCAGCTGCAGCAGAACACTTTCCGGAATCGCAGTCCGCGTCGACGCACGGTGTTGGGGGCCACTGGCGTTCTGCACGATGCGTGCCCGCCACGCCGATGGCTGAGCTTCCCAACCCTCCTACGAGCCCGCTGTAGTTCGCCAACGATCACTTGAACAGCTGGTTGATTGATCTCGACGACGTACGTCGTTGGAAAAAGCATAAATACTGAGTCATACTGTTTCCAAAAGATCGCTGCGCATAGATCGGAGCCGCATCGACGGGTAATCGGCGTCGTTGCCATCACCACATCGCAATTTTTCACTGGCACAGCCACGCAACATTTTCCTTGCGCCGCCAAACGGCTGGCGTACTGCAGCAAGGTATCCAGCGGCGGGCCGTGGGGGCAACCAATCCCTCCCGAGGCTTGTTGGCGACTGCTTGCGGCACCGCAACTAACAACATGCTCCACCATGCAGCGCCTCGCCCAGCTGACGGCGGTTGTGCCGAGGGCGTGGGGAGCCCGGCGAGCTTTCATAATGGCTTAGCAATCAACGCTGCAATTTCAAGTCGCAACCGACAACCGGGTTTCAGTTTCGTTGTTCGGCTGGTTTCCGTTGCAACTCCCACTGGTTACATTTGCTAGCCCCAGCCCAGTTCCTGGTCGTCTGCGGAGCCACTCCGCTGTGCGGCACGCTTTGTTGCGACGCGACGTTGGTTCCCCACTGACTCGCACAGACCAACCACAGCCATGTGCGGCAGAGGCCGGTCCCTCGCAGTAGCCTCGGAGGTAGGGTAGCCGACCGAACTCGCGTCGGCAAGCAAAAAGGTGCGCCAAAAAAAAAAAACAAGGTTCCTTTGGTTCCTGTTCCGACTTGGACGGTTTCTGAGATGTGGTTCCTGTTACATCGTGTGCTGGTTCCTATCACAACCCTCACTCCGACATCGGCCAGCCACGTGCGTTGTTGTTGCGGATTATGTTCGTGAGCTTGCAATACGGGCCATCCCCGTATCAACTGAGCCATCCTCCGTCTGTGCCACCGGTAATGTCAAGCGCAGGGATTTCCCTTGGTTACTTCGGAAAACATGAGTAGAACAGTCCTTCCCTGCTACACGCCGCTAATGTTAACGGGGTCAGGGTGTTAGGAACTCTTCGTCATCATGGTGCAAGCCGTGTTCTTCACCGCCGGGACACGAGCATGGGAGCTAGATAAAGGCAGATTTTTGTAGATACTTCCTGCATTCAGCAACCAAGCTGCTAGATACCCGTCAGTTTCGGAGCTGCAGGCGACGGTAAAATAAGCTCTGATGCCGGAGCGTCTGCAGCTGCTGAAGATGGCGCCGGCCACGCCCGTCCGGCTCTTGTCGGCGCGTTGCGGGGCAACATGCTTCCAACAGTGCCAAGCCATGCCAAGCCCAAGCGGTAGCTGCGGCACCTCGCAGAGCGGGTGGGGCATGCGGCCGGCGGATGCGAACGAGAACGCAAACGAGAGCTTTTGGCCTCGTGCCCCCACTTTCGCGGCCCTTTTTTTCATGAGTGTTTTTGTGGCTGTGCCGTTCTGCCAGGTCTTGCTACGCAAGGGCACGTAACAGCAGTTCGTTAGATTTTACTTTCCTTCTGGCAGAAACAATCTCGTAGGTTGTTCCAATATGCAACAGCCGAAGCGGCACCCCTCTCGTCGAAACCTTGGCGGTCAGAGCTTGCGCAGCCACGGAAAACAAATTATAAGCCTTCAAACCTATTAGGGGACCTGAGCTGCCCGGATGTTGCACGGGGTCCGGAGTGTTTATTGTAATTTTTTTCCTCGCTCTTGTCTGGACGACCTCTACCTCGTCACCACCCCGGCTCGCACGCACGGTCGAGCAGCACCCGGGTGTCGCAACCGAGGCAAGACTCGAGTCTATCGTGCGGGCAGCGGGCCGCCACCGCCAGGCGTAGTTGGGACCCGGAGTCTGGTGCGGAGGCGACAGGGAGCCGGCGACTCGCGGCTTCGTTGCTATGGGCGTGCCAATCGGGCATGCGGAGTTCATGCAACGCAGTTTTGCTGCTAGGTTTGAGGAAGAGCGCCGCCTGCTGCGAGAACTGCAGGAGCTTCCAGGTATGCAGTGCCAGCTCGCGTGCCCGACACGTTTTGCGCACGGCGCCGCAGCGGCTGCGGGGAACAGACTACTCCGCGGCCGCCGCCCATGCATCTTCACGAGCTCTCAGAGCCCGGAAGTTGGATTCATGGCAGGCAAAAACCGGGAAGTCGCGTACTCGACACTTCTTACAGTTCCGCGGCTTTGCTGCGCTCCCAGGCAGGGGCGCATGCTGGCGAGTGGTTGTGAGCCATGTCGTCAGACGAGGGCACACAACTCTGGCGCTGGACATGCAACTAGCGCTCAGGAGACGCCTTCGCTTGCCGCTGCCTTTAGTTGCATCCCGTTGTGGCGGACATGGCGAGCCAGGCTGCAGAGCCGTGGTCGACCAGCTGGGCGATCACCGGGCCGCCTGTGCCCGGAGCCCCGCCTTCTCTGCCGCCAGAGCTTTCGGTGCCAGTCTCCTTGGCCTTTCCCTGCCCGGCACTGCCAATGTTGATGGCGACCATCCCTTGCTCAGTGAAGTCCTTTCCTCGACTCGCTTCGACGAAGCCCCGCCTGTTGCCAGCCGTCTTCCCCCGCACCAGTGAGCTGCAGCCTTGGACTCGGGCGGGGAGGACGTAGCTGCAGTTCCTCCCCCCTGCTCTGGGACCGCATTACTCCCGGCGCAAAACGGTCCGGGGGAAAGATTTAAAAAAAACGGGCTGCTAGCCAGGCGCGCTCCCATACTCGAGAGGGTTCGCGTCGCGGGAAGCCGTAGCCGCTGAAGGCCGGGTTGTCCCTCAGCAGTGGCTGGCACGGACCACCGCGCCGGGAGCCGCACAAGATCACCGGTGCCGGCTCGACCTTGTCATTTGTAGCGTTTCTCGGTGCGGCGAAGTGCTCTGCTGCGATGTAACCCTGGTGTCGCCGTTGTGCTCGGACGGGCGCCCGCAACCGGCCTAACCGGATCGGGATGGGGCCGCCATCGATGTCGCGCGGAGGCGCAAACAGCGCCGCTAGACGGTGGCCGCTGGAGCACTGAAGCTGCGCAGTTCATCCGACTCTTTGCCTGCAGGTGTGAGCAGCCCCACAGCTCCTGCGCTCGAGTGGCCTGCCGCTGCGTAGGTCACCCTTTGTTTCGCAGCCGCCCGTGCTCTCGCAGCGAGTCTCCTTTCCCTCCCCCTCGCGCACATTGCCAACGTTGATTGGGACCCCTTGATGGACTTGAGTGACTTCCTCGGGGCTGCGCACGAGGCACTTCCCCCTGTCTCCCCAGCCGCCTGCCTCCGTGCGGCTGAGTGGTCCTGGACTTCGTGGACTTTTCGGCGTACCGGATTTCTGCGAGAACAAAACGCGACCCCTCGTCGTGCTGGCGGCCGAGAGCAAGTCGCCGGCTGCAGATGCTTGGACGCGCCATTGCGCCAAACACTGAAGATGCATGGTATGCCTGGTGCAAACCGGCAAGGGCACGGGACGCAGGGATCCTGTCGTACCGGGAACCAAGTCGTCTAGGCAAATGCAGCAGACGTCCGATGCCGGGAGGGCCGGGGGTGTGACGTCTCCGACGACAGGGCACGGGGTGTCAACCAGCACCGGCTCTGCAGGTTGTCTCCGGCTCATGTTCCTGCCCCGAAGCACCCGCGCAACCCCTGGCAGCCGACGAAGGCGCCTGCAGGACCGCGGCAGTTGGCTCAATGGGAACGTCAGCCGCGCCGTGAACAAGTGGCGCACTAGCTGGCACAGGGTTGCGTGCCTCGGAGCAGTTACGATTAGCAGGCCAAGAGCCTCGAAACACCCAAGCTCCGGGATTCTCCTCTTGAGCCAAACTGGCTTGAGCCAAAATGGTTTGAGCCAAAACGGCTGCTCTTCTTGCACACAAGTCGCCTCGCATATTGAGCAGGGCCACTGGCACGCGCCGTCGCCCGCATTTGCAAGCCGGCACGAGGGTCGCGACAAATGTCGCTTTGGGAATACATTGGGGGTGGCTTCCCGGCCGTTAGGTTCACAGCCACGAGACAAATATAGCCAGACAAGGGCGGCTAGACAAAGCTAGGTAACAGATAATTCTTTTGCTCATGTGCCGAAGATTTATGGTTTCGCAAGATTGAGCGGGTAGGTTCGATAACACCACAGAGGCCAGAGGTGCTGGGCTTGCTGGCTTCAGGACTGGCAGACTAAACCCTAAACCCCACCATGCAAATACGGCGAGATCGTCGCGTCGTGCGAGGCGGCGAATTCCGGCGCGCAAAGGATGATTGCATCGCATTCCGATTTGAGTTTCGTTGTTTTTTCCAATGGTTTT